AGCCTTGCTTGGTCAGTTCTGGGTGCCTGGCCTTTGGACTCCATGTGGAACACTTGACCAAGTCCATTTCTTTTGGGCACATCCCTGGGGTGATGTTCTGAAGTACAAGGTAGCTTCTGCCTCCTTGGGTCTTTAGAAACTGCCATTCTTCCATTCTGCTTGAAGGCTGGCTTGAGGACACCTGGGGTAGGCATACGATGGCATTCCTCCTGCCTGGAGGGTAAGATGCAGGAGCCTGCATGCCTCTTAGTGGAAGGGTTTCCAGGGCACATCTGCCTCCCAAGAGACTTTTTGACAGGTGGCTCCCTGGTCTCAAGTCCATCTGGTAGCGCCCTTTTTCTGTTTCCTGCAATGACTCCCGGCATCTTTGGGTGCTGTGGAGAATACAAAGACAGGAAGAGTTCAGGAACAGGCTGTGAGCCTTGAATGGAAGTGTTGGAATTCAAAGGAACACACGGAGTACATAGAATGGACACTCCAAAAATGAGTCTGTCTTGGGTCCAATGGATGTCCAATGTCCCTGGATGACATGGCCCACACTAGCGGTCCTAAACCTGCAATGATGGGTACTTTGTGCAGGAAGAGGTGAAGAGAGAAAGCTTTCCTGCAAGACTAAGTCCGGCTCGCACTGATGACTCATATGTCTGTGCCTGTGTCTATGTGTTCTCTCGAAAGCAATAAAGAACACACTTTGGAGATATCTGGAGAGACAGAAAGACAGATTGGAAGAAGGGTGTGATCCTCCGTGGGCCACCTGCAAACAGTTAGCTTCTGAACACCAGGTATGGCCCAACCAATGGAGAATTCTAATCATCTCATGGGTGATTTGAAGCTAGCCAGGGAAAAGACACTTTTCGATACCCTGCCTTGAATCTGACTCTCACATTGGGTTTTGGGGGCCACTCTGTAGCCAACCGATTGCTATGAAAGGCATTAGGATACTTAGTTGCCAATTATTGTTCTCTGATCCACATGTGGGTTCCAGAAGCAGCACAAATCAGCATTGCCCTCATGCTGATAGCAAAATTTGGGGACAGACAGGT